GGGGTAATTTTTGGTGCTCATTTGGAATTCATTAATAACAGGGGCCGCAGTAATCCCTGACGCTTAATCGAATGACAGAATAGCAGTGATCTCTCAGATTTTTTATCTTCTTTACCCTCCCAGGGTCAAACAAGGTGAAATGGACGCTATTGACCTTTTGCTTAAGACAGTTGTCTAAGTTCCCGGCGGTGGCATGAGGTCTGCGGCGCTTTGGACACCACTGCGGAGTTTCATCTTGTTTCATCATATTTGACCCTCAGGTCATGACCTAGGAGCCTCGAATGTTGACAGACGTGAGTTCACATACCAGCGAACGTACCCTGCGACTTTGGTGTCCACCTGTCTTAGTTTCCAAGATCTCAGAGGGGTGAAATTGACCTCCCGCCAGAACGAGGGGCGGCACTAGCGGTACTAGGTGCACTAGGGGTATTAGGGGCACTGAAGGTACTAGGGGTAGTAGAGCGGTGCTAGGGGTACCGGAGCGGTGTCTGTGACAGTGCGCACCAGCCATGGTTTACCAGCCATTGCGTACCACCCTGCATGATGTAGGGAAGAATCCCGCACGTCAGCTGCGGCTTGTATGTTGGCGAGATTAGTTCTTTGAAGAACGTCGCAGCTCAACTCGTCACGGTAATACAGCCGTAGGGATAACCATAAAGCTGAGAGCGCTTGCCATGCAGTAATGCATGCAATTTGCGACGTCGAGTTAATTAGTATGCACGTGGAACTGATAGTATGGTTACCGGGGTCTCCCTCTGTAGTCATTGTAGTCATAGTCATAGTTATTGATGCGCGGAGCAAGCGCGTGCTGTACTGGCTGACGAGAGACGATGCTGACTGGGCGGTCTCGTATTCCCAGACTCCTGGTATGGTTTGCACAGTAAACCGTTCTACGCGGAGTACTTCATGATCAGTGAGTCTCCCTGTGCCAGAGTGCACTCTCAGAAAAGGGCTTCCGGGCACAAATGGCTAGTTAGTACTGGCACCGAGCCAGTTCTTACGAAAAAAGCGGCCCAGAAGGCGGCCGAGGTCAGGCTGCTCTGACGAAGGAATGGATGTCCGGATGTCCGGGATAGCAGGGCGGATGGCCGCCGCGCCGGCAACCGTGAGCAAAATGGACCTGGCGTATGTGAAGACGAGGATGAGGACGAAGACGAAGCTGCTGGCCGAGCACAACGCCAAGATGACGACAACGCGACGCTACTCGCAGTGCGTGGTGAATGAGCTCAACGCGAGAATGGTAATCGTGCGGAAAGTAAGACGTCAAGCTTTCGTCATGGGTCGCCAGGAAGCCAGGCCTCTCGATGCAGAGTTCTGATAGACCGAGGACGATTTGAAGATGGCCATGCTCCGCGAGATGGTGCTCAAGCGGGAAGCTCAGAGTACTCGGTATGAAGCTGTTGGACGGTCTGCGGAATCGGCAGACTAGCTCCGCCAGGGTACTCCTGACCTGGGGAAAGGTAGGCTGGACCTGTGGTCTACTGAATGCGTGGGAGAATGAAAAAAGATGAAAATGATGAAAATGAAAAAATAAAAAAATAAAAGAAGTGGCTGCATAAGGTAGCATGTCGTCGATAATCCTGGTCGAGCTGTCAAGAACTTAAAGTTTAGCATAGTAGAAAAGATGATGTGCTTATTTAGCTAGCTGTCCACCTGTTCTTATTACACATGAACTTAAAGCGCATCTGTAATTAGTGACAGGACACAAACATACAGAGATGACAGTACTTTCGAATACTTATGATGCGTACATCGAAACCGCGCTCAGCATGAAAACCCGCTCATTGTGCCGCAACATTACGGTGAATCGACTGGTGCACCACAAGGGAGCGCATCCTTGGATCTGCATGCACCAAGAGCTGGAAGGACGCGCACCATTGGCCAGCGGTGCGTTCGCACCCCGTGCTTTTGTTGTCTCCTCCGTCTCTCTTCGCTGTTGTGATCTTTTGTCCATGCTCACGTCTCTGCGCTAAATGGTGGGCGCTGTGAAATGGAGAATCCGGGTAGAAAACTGAAGGATCCTACATCTTTATTCTTAGATGATGTCGCTAAACATATGCGAAACTGGTTGATTTCATTTATGGTCTTGTACGGTCAAACCCTGACCCCGAGATTGGTCCCAAACGCGCATAGTCCATAGCCTGCCCTTAGGTGTACGCTTTCCTAATCAGCTTGGGAGCAACCGCCCGCCCCCCCCCCCCCCGCAGCTTCGAGAAGAAAGTCAGCCACTTTCGGGGAAAACCCATTTGTTGGCATTTTTATGGGGGGGAGGGGGTCGGTTACGCCATTCTCATTGCTTACACCCACCCCAAACTCTTTGCACGAAAATACCGCACAATGTTTTGTCTGTCGTACCTTCACCGAAACTAGCTGCATCCAGAGCATCCATTTTCAGCATGCATTTCATGAAATTGGTACTGACATTTGCTGCCGACCACCGCGCTTGTCGAGTTCATAGCTAACATAGAGATCATTGCTGAGGCTCAGCCGCTTGAATTCAGTTATGGTGCCTTTGAGGTACTGTGGTAGTTCAAGTTACGTTACGAAACCTCCGTGCTTGCACTGTGGTTTAGTGCTTGGATGCTTGTGTGGCCGTAGACTTTTAGTTAGCTGGCGAGCCGCTTTTACTTGTTTGGTTATCATTATTTACTGTATTGTAGCCGTGAGATATCTGTGCAAGTCAGTCGACATCACGCCAATAAGGCCAAAGGACAAACGCCACTGCTATGTCTGAGGTCTCCTCCATCGTTGCTGCTCCTCCATCCCCCGCTCCTGACACAGCCGGCCCGGTCCATGGTGTTTTCTCCAGTCTTCCGCCGCGCAGGTCGGCCGCGCGTGAAGGCGGTATTGCCGTCGGCCCTGCGAGTCGGGTCATGGCCGCTGCCCCAACCAGCATTTTATCGTTACCCCGGCCGGGCCCTAGACGGGCAGACTGGATGGGCAGTAACAGGATGCCAACCGCCCCCCCCTCCCCCCCTCCCAGATGGCCTTTGCGACTTTCCTTTTTGATGGATTGCAGCCTAGCCACAGCCGAGGCTGTCTGCCAACGACTTAGCTGGGCACCACCTGGGCACCAGCTGGGTGCTTGTCGGACAAGTATCAGAGTATCGGTGTGGCCTGGGCGGACGATGGGGTTCAGCTGGGACCCTGCTTATTATGGCGTCGTGTATGCCAAGGTGACCTTGACGTATTTTCTCTGACATAGTCTCTTCATCTTCGTTGGCATGTAGTTAAGAATCTGGAGGGGTTTAGGTCTTAAGATAGGCAGGGCTGTGAGCTGCACCGAATGATCTTCAAGATGGCTAGTTCAGTTCAAAACCCGACGGAAATGTGGAACACTCCCCTTAAAAATAGCGCGTAACCGAAACGGGATGTAAATGAAAATTAGCAACATGGCATTACGGAAAAGGACATAAGAACAAGACGAGAAAAGTTCAAAACACATCCACAGTAAGCCTGTAACATGAATTTACATGCACAGGCCACCAGCACCATCTTTCGGCGCGCCGAGGCAAGGTTGGGCGTGGTGGTGAAGTTAACGCGTCACTAGGGAACGCAGTTAACACACACAGACCACCAACATCGTCTTTCGGCGCGCCGAGGTAAGGTTGAGCGTGGTGGTGAAGTTAACGCGTCACTAGGGGACGCAGTTACCAGAATAGCGGGTTAAGTTACTTCTCGAAATGCCAGTGTGATAACGGGTCACCCATCCACCAACAGTCGACTTCTCACGAGAAACGTACGCAATTAATTGTTAGAAACATGACGGTCCATGCAGATAACAGCATGCATCTGGCCGTTTGCGGGGCGGGGAAAATCATGGCTTCATGACCTTACGCCCCCCCCCCCCCTCCCCCTGGATCCGCCCTTGATCTGATGCCTGTCTCGATATCTTCAGCTGTTATGCTACGCTCATTCCTTTCAGATCATCTGTGATGCAGTTTGTTGACTACATTGTGAGGCACGGGGATGGGTTTGTATATTTTCCTGCACGAATCCAGGTCAGAAGCGGATGCACAGGAGTAGATCAATAGTGGGACAAACCCGGAATGCCCGAGCTGTATGCGTGGCGGCGAAGCCCAGTCTGTATTCAGCTCTGCTTTGAGCCATTTCCATGTTTGAGCTCGGCTTCGGCTTCGGCCTCGTGCCATCTGATACGGATGGCTGCGGCTTCGGCTTTGTCATTTTTTATACTGGGCTGCGGCTTCCGCCTCGTTTTCGAGCAATTTCGGAGCTATGGCTCGGACTCTTGCCTCATGAGACCGTGAACTGCCGGTTGGGGCATTTGTGCGTGTTTTTCTACTGCGGTCTCGATTTTCCAGATACGCAAACAAGCGGTTTTCCAATTCTTGTCCCCCTAATATGCCGCAGAAATTTTCGGGGGTGGGACTTATACATGGCTGAAACCTTAAATCAGCCGGTGTTTCTCAGGATCAGTTCACATCTGACGACGGCCGGCGAATCAACCTTCCGAAGCGTTGTGTGTGACAAACGCTCTACTCGTTACACCAACACATCATCGAAAGTCTTCAGCTTCGGCTTTGACCTCGTGATTTTAACTTAACAAGTTCGACTTTGGCTTCGCGCTTCCAAGTTCGAAGCAGCTGAGTGGTCGACTTCGGCTTCGCGGGTTCGAAGTTCCACCGGCTTTGGATTCAGCTTCACGTTTAGAAAATGTGAAGTTGATGGCCTCGGATTCGGCTTCGCAGGTCCAAACTTCGAGGTCACTGAGATCAGCTTGAACTTCAGCTCCATGTCATTGCCGTGGCTTTGGATTCGACTTCGAAGCCAAACTCCTGGTTTCGTCCTCATGCCTGCCGATATGTGTGACAACCACGCCGCGCACCGCGGAGCAGTAAAACGGCGCACCTGGCCTAGGCCCTTGGGTGTGTCTGTAATGTGACTTCGGAGTGTCACGGTATCTCGAATCCGTTCAGCGGGCGTATCATTAGTTCGCACTTTTTGTGTTGCTTTTCACACGCAATCTCCTTGTATTTCAGAAAGGCGGGAAAGATTCTTGAACGCGCTGTCGGCCACAGTACAAACTATTGTTGAAAAGCACCCGAACGGCCTCCTTTGCTCCAAGCTTCCTGTAGAATATAAGGTAATGGCTCGGACGGACATGTGGGGCTCGAATGCACTGTACCTCCTCTTTCCCGACTGCGTGTCTGCCATCGAGGCGCTCTTTTCTCAGTACATAGTCCTTGTCAAAAGTGCGAGGCATAAACACTTCCGTTGTCCGGCTGGCGATCCTCAGTAAGCTCCGTGCGCCTGGCGGCAGGCGGAGACGGGCCGTGACCTGGACGTGGCCAAGCACGGCTACCACAGCGTGCTGGACCTTGTGTCCCGCTTGCCGATGCGCATCATCAAGTCCGTGGCGTTCGGTGACTGGTTGCTGTTCACGCGGAGCCAGCCGCTGCCTGACTTCGTCAACGACCAGACGCATACTGACGACGGTCAGTGGAGGCGGCTGCCCCGTCCCTCCCCGCCCCCGCATCATCTGCCGCGCTCTGCGGCCGCACATGGTAGCTGTGATGAGGGGTGCCGATGACAGGGTCATCACTGTGTTGCGTGTGATTCTGCCAGCCGCTGTGCTCGGGCGTGTGCTGCACATGAGACTGATCGGGAGTCGTCTGGCGGCTGCTGTGTGTATGCTGCTGACGCCTGCCCGCACGCGGCTGCTGCAGGTCTCATGGAGGAAGCCGGCGACGGCGCCGAGTGTCTCAGGGAGGCCAAGAGCAGGATCCGCGACATCCTGTTCTCCTTCCCAGACGGTCTGCGCATGTCCTGTCTGGAGGACCACTACCAGGTGCCGTGCCTCCTCAGCCGTGTTCCAGTTGTGAGCGTTCTGCGCATGTCCAGTCTAGAGGACCACTACCAGGTGCCGTGCCTCCTCAGCCGTGTTCCAGTCGTGAGCGTTCTGCGCATGTCCAGTCTAGAGGGTCACTACCAGGTGCCGTGCCTCCTCAGGCGTGTTCCAGTCGTGAGCGTTCTGTGCATGTCCAGTCTAGAGGGTCACTACCAGGTGCCGTGCCTCCTCAGACGCGTTCCAGTCGTGAGCGTTCTGTGCATGTCCAGTCTAGAGGGTCACTACCAGGTGCAATGCCTCCTCAGCCGTGTTCCAGTCGTGAGCGTTCTGCGCATGTCCAGTCTAGAGGGTCACTACCAGGTGCCGTGCCTCCTCAGGCGTGTTCCAGTCGTGAGCGTTCTGCGCATGTCCAGTCAAGAGGGTCACTACCAGGTGCCGTGCCTCCTCAGGCGTGTTCCAGTCGTGAGCGTTCTGCGCATGTCCTGTCTGGAGGACCACCACCAGGTGCCGTGTCTCCTCAGACGTGTTCCAGTCGTGAGCGTTCTGCGCATGTCCAGTCTAGAGGACCACTACCAGGTGCCGTGCCTCCTCAGCCGTGTTCCAGTCGCGAGCATGTGAGATGCAGCAGCAAGTGGCAACGTGCCTCGTGTGGAGCACTTGTATTGGCAATTGTGGATCGTGATGCGATGGAGAGCAATAATATCTTCAGGATTTAAAGACGTAGTCAGTCTCTCGGGTCACTTGGCGTAGGAATCTATCATGCCAGCGGCGACAGAGAGCGGCGAAGCTACGCCATTGCCACTTAGGTACGATGCCAGGTGATGAAGATGCTATGTTACCGCTATAAAACCGGCTTTCAGATGAAGCGCATCATTGCGTGGATCTCGCCGCTGACACCCTGCAGTTAGCACGTCTCCGCGCGTGTTGGGAGCATGTCGCGGTCCGGTGCGTGCCCAGCGGCGCAGACCCTGCACGCCCCTGCGTCGAGGCGCGACCCCAGGTTACTGACCCCGCTCTCCGCCCCCCCCCCCCTTCCCCGCCTGCAGATGAGCTGCAACGAGCGGCTTCCGTACCTGTCGCTGGGCTTCAGCTCCGTCGAGACGTTCGTGCTGCACCTGACCGGTGACGTGCTGCAGGTCAAGTACACCGGCGAGGGCCTCAAGCTGTACCCCATCGTGCCCAAACAGCCGGTACGCAAACGCCTGAGCACCGGAGAGGGCACCGGCGCGAGCGGTGTGCCGCTGAAGACTGTCAGCCGCGCTCGTGTACGGCCGGCGGGACCGTCCCGCTCCGGCCAAAGTCTTAGTTGGCTGGTTTGGGCGGAGGAGATCCGTCGTGTCGGGTCAGAGTACGCGTATGCTGGGTGTCGTTCCCAGGCCCGTCCCTGGCCCAGTCCGCGTACCTGGCTGTGATCTTACTCACGTCGTTATCGCCTGGGCCGTCCCAGGGCTGTGCTGTTTCTCAGTGTCGGTGCCCCTGCGGCAGCTGCGGTGTCACTCAGTATTGGTGCCACCTGCGACGGTCGTGGTTTCACTCAGTGTCGGCGCCCCTGCTGCAGCTGCGGTGTCACCCAGTATCGGTGCCCCTGCGGCAGCTGCGGTGTCACTCAGTATTGGTGCCACCTGCGACGGTCGTGGTTTCACTCAGTGTCGGCGCCCCTGCTGCAGCTGCGGTGTCACCCAGTATCGGTGCCCCTGCGGCAGCTGCGGTGTCACTCAGCATTGGTGCCACCTGCGACGGTCGTGGTTTCACTCAGTGTCGGCGCCCCTGCTGCAGCTGCGGTGTCACCCAGTATCGGTGCCCCTGCGGCGGTTGTGATGTCACTCAGCGTCGGTGCCCCTGCGACGGTCGTGGTTTCACTGCGTCGGTGCCCCAGCAGCGGTTGAGGTGTCACCCAGTGTCAGTGCCCCTGCGACGGTTGTGGTGTCACTCAGTGTCAGTGGCCCCGCAGCGGTTGGGGTGTCACTCATTGTCGGCGCCTCCGCAGCGGTTGTGGTGTGACTCAGTGCCGGTGCCCTCAGGACCGTCCCATGGGTCAGGTGCTGTACCCGGCGGACGCCGTGGGTCCCAGCCTTAGCTTCGAGCGGGTCAAACTGCCCGAGGTCCCGGCCGGCAAGTACAACCTGGAGATCTTCGTGGCGGAGGTCAGGCCGCCCGACTGACCGTTGCCTTGTGTCGCATTACTTTGATGTCTCCACGCTGTAGGCTGGTGGCATCTGTGTGTGGGTTATGTCTCTGACGCTGGTCTGTATGTCATAGTCAGGGCATTTGCCTTCGGTATCGTTCATATCAGTACGAAGCGCGGATAAAGAAATGCGTTTCAGTCAATTCGTTTTCCGTGCTGGTGTTGATGTAATGTGTTGTCTGGTGTGTAGGCAACCACTCTTCCTTCCGGATTGTTTTCTCTGTTGTGCGTTTTGTTCCAACGGGCCGGTAGATTGGGGCAATGTGTATGCAGCTGTCCTTCTGATATCAACCGTTGACTCGTCAGACGGCCCTCTTGAAACGAACCAAACTATCTCATGTGTGGATGAATTATAATATTTGCATGTGCCTGCTCCGTCGTCATAGGCCATCACTGTGTTGTGTGCCAGAGCTCGCGCCCCGCTTCGCCGCGCGGGGGATGTCTGCCGCTGTCTATGAGCCGTGCGAGCCCTAACGTACGCGCCTGTCGCCAGGTGTACCACCCGCACAAGTTCTGGTTCCACCTAGTGGGCGAAGAGTACGCTGAGGCGCTGGAGAAGCTCATGGACCAGATGGAGTAAGCAGCGTGAGACGCCGCGCGCGCGCCATTTTCCCGCTGCTGCTGCTGTCCGTGCCCGTCAGCTGGCTGCTGCTTGCGGTTGAAGTGTGGGAGGGCAAGCTATTCTGACAGGCTGTTAGACTTAACAAGTGTCTTGCCGCTAAAGGCGACGAAACCGCCACACCTGTAGTTATCTAAACAGGAAGCTGATGTTCGGGTCTTTTCTGGTTTCACCATCCAAAGGCCATCGGCCAGTGGTGACGAAGCGCTGACGTTCTTGACGGCTCTCAGCTGCTCGGCTGCGCCGGTTTCGGGTCGCATGTCCGCCACCAAACGGCCAGACACGACCATTTTCGAGTCCAACACGTGCTGTGTATTGAACTGGCGACTCGTGCCATCAACGCACCCTGAGAACCAAACCCGGACGGGGGCTGGGGTTGTCTTACCGTCGCGGTCACGGCACCCCGGCGCGGGCCACCTCTGAGCGGGCCACCGTTCTCGGGCCGGGTCGTTGGCCGGGAGGGAGCGGGCCTGGTGACGGGCCTGTCGGCGCGCGCGCCTGACTCCGCCCGACCGCCGCCAGGGTGACCTACTGCACGGCGCTGGGCTTCAAGTACCGCATGCCGGAGGCCACCGTCCAGGTGGGCCAGGTGTGCGCCTGCCCTTACGGCGAGCAGGGCTACCACCGGGCCGTCATCACGGACGTGCGGCCGGCGCCCGAGCCCGTCAAGGTACGCCGCTGCGCTGGCTGAAGTAGGCCGGGAAAGCTTTGCTTCGCTTCGCTTCGCTTCGTGGGCCATCAGTTTTCTGCAGTAGGAATCAGGCGTATTCTGTTGGTCGGCATGGCGTTCTGGTCGGCCAGAAGCTGGGGTCAGCCTGCTGGCCGTGTTTGCATTGCACTGTGTGACATTGCGCCGCTGGTCCTGCAGGTGTTCTACGTGGACTACGGCTCGGTGGGGACGGTGCCGCGCTCCTTCCTGCGATTCCTGCCCCTGGACTTCTTCCGGCTGCCGGCCCAGGCCCTGCTGGTGAGTGCGCGGTCAGGGTCGGCGCCAGACGGCGCGGCACGCCGCCTGGTGGCCGGCCGTTCGGCTGTTCATTATTGCTTTTAAGACGTCTCCTTTCCGTCTGTGCTGATAATTTTAAGGCCATTTTAACGTAACATTTCTGTGAATTTGGACGGCGTGGATTGGCATTGGGTGGAGCGAGCTCATGAAGAGTCCGGCGAGTGTCGGGATGTTGGAGCGGATAGAGCTGGAAGGGTGTATGCCAGCTGCGCCACCGCTGCTGGTCTTATTGGTCTTGGTGTTGGACTGCGTCCACGCAAACAATGTCCACCTCGCGACAAGTCCCCGTGTGCAAGCTCCGGTGCCGTCCCGGTGCCGGTGCCAGCGATCACCCTGTGCGCATAACTGGACGCGCGCTCCTCGGCGGTGGTCGCGCCGCAGGGCCGCCTAGCCAACATCCTGCCGGCGGCGGCCGAGGGCTGGACGCGAGAGGCCTCCAAGACGTTCCTCTCGCTGGTGGACCAGAACCGTATCCTGTACGCCATGGTGCTGGATAGATCGCCGGTGAGTCGGGCCGCCGCGCACTGCGCCGGCGTCACTGGCCATGGCTGGCTGGTCTGGGCGGGCCGCCGCGCACTGCGCCGGCGTCACTGGCCACGGCTGGCTGGTCTGTGCGGGCCGCCGCGCACTACTCCGGCCCCACTGGCCACGGCTGGCTGGTCTGGGCGGGCCGCCGCGCACTACTCCGGCCCCACTGGCCACGGCTGGCTGGTCTGGGCTGGCCGCCAGCGCGCGCCTGCTGCTGATCGGATGGGGCACACGCGGCCACCGGGGCGTCGGCGTTGCAGCGTTGCGATGGGTGTTTTTAATTCGTATAATCATGGTTGTCCTTGTGTGTGGGATCTTTGTTAGTAGCTTTGCGGAGCAGGGTGTTACATTTTCTCGTGCAAAACATTCTGCTTAACAGTGTCCTAGAATTGCCGACTTTAGGTGTAAAGCAACACCCTATGAGCATGAATTTTTCACTCCTTTTCCCCATATCTTATGTGAATTTTTCACTCCTGTCTGACATTGTCTAGTCGCACATGCCAAACCCCTCTTTCCCTTTTTGAGGTTTTCAGATGTCATCCAAAGCCGAGCTCACTTGAAACCACCAAGCATAAACGGGGCTCCGCAGAACCAGGACACCTATGGCTATGTCCTACCTCAGCGACATCTGAATCATGTCCATGTATCCACAGAGCAAGGGCGCCAGGTACCTCCAAGCCCAAGAACCCGAGCGACCCCAGCCGCTTGCACACATTAAGTTTGGTTTGTTTACAAAATGCATCACAGTCTGCAGCTGTGCGCCAAATACAAGGTTGTCACGCATCCCTATTTTTTATTTTTTTGTCTCACCACCATACCACGAAAGCAGAGGCTGGTGCAAACACCAGCAAGGCCTGGTAGAGAATTCTACTCCACGTACTTCTTTTTTCCCGAGGAAACTTGACTACCAAATTGCATCGCTCCCGAAATGCAGGAGAGAAAAGTTCAAGAAATGTCCTTTAATTTAAAGTTACAAGATGAATATCACCATTTGGGCACTTAAATTGACAAATTTTAAGTCAACTCAGCCAATTACAAATTTTTTTTCGAGAAAAGTACCAGTCTTTATATTTATTTAGCTACTTATGTTTTTCTTGGTATCATACCAGTGTGATACCAATTTATTCTTCCTTCCTTTTCGATTGCCTCTAAAGGTACCATCTGCTACCTAAAATGTTTACAAATTTCTCTGCAAAAAGCTCCAACTGCAAGCTTGTACAAATTTCATACATAAATTGGATTAATTCGCCAGCCGCCCAAACATGTTTGACATGCACCCAGGCGTGAACAATTCACAGAGAATGAAGGACACAATTTGAAGCACGGGACTTAGATTTCCCGCTCTTTTTGGCCTCTTAAACCTTCGGTTAACCGTTTTCTTGGTTCGTGGCGGTGCTCAATAAGGATAAATCCAAGCTTTTCGAGTTTCTGACTTCAATGCTACCTGGCTAGGCTTAAAATAGCCTTACCTTATGCGGCCTCCTTATGGCAGCATTAAAATATGCTGCCATGTAGAGCTTTGGGACAGACCTAACGCAGCCAATACAGAGGTGTTTCATGGCGAAATTCTGCGCTGTAGATATGTTTATCATACGCACCTCTTACTTGTTTCGCATTTCCATCTCTAAGGTTGTTGGGCATGATTGATACTTATATTTAGGGGTTGAGTCGGACGACTCTGTCTGTCAGCAGACCACGCAAGAGGTACTGAATTTTTGTTTTTGGGGGGCAGGAAGAAGCCGGTGAGTCTCCCGCGGATCAAGTAATCGCTTACCTTGCCTGCCTTCAACACATGATTGGTAACGAGAATTAGCCATTTTCTGTTCTAATGCATCAAGTGGCCAGGGTGTACTTTCCTACCTAACGTTAGAAAAAATCGTTGTACACCATTCGTTGTGTTTAAGGCAGGACATATCTTAAATAATCACAAAACAGGTAGATTCATGCTCTTACCTTCGAATTTTTTATAATTACGATGGCGAGCTCCCGAGCGCCGTACACACACAGCAGCCGCGACACCGGCGCCATTACTGCGCGCGGTCACATTACTGCACATCACGCAGCATCAAGAACCATACAAATGTACGGGGCCAAGGTAACAAGAATCCATGACATTTGATCCTCGGCGCCAACGGGACGTTTTCATTTGAATAAGCGAAAAAGATTACGCTAGGCAGTATGTTCCTAAAACAATACGTTCGACCCAGGTCGTCTTAGGTCAGTGGTCTGTTCTGACCTCTAAGAAGTCAATTGAAAATGTATGATGCGGTTCCTGCTGTCAATAAATTCGAAATGAGCACCAGAAACTATCCCATGCAGCAAGCCCTAGGGTAATAAATCAGGTTGGTTTTGACCTTGGTCTGACCATCATGTCTGACCTTTGGTCAACGTAATTTGCTCATTCAATATTTGCGGTGCCTAAGAAAGCATCTCAGATGTTTATGTCTTCGTCAAACATTCCGTTGTTGTATCAGATTGAACAATTCCCTAGAAGTTGCCTTCGCTGAAACCATGTGCTGACTGACCTGTCATAGGTCAGCGACGTTACAAGGTACATCCAAAAGTGGTATGTCATACGATATAATATGCAATTTTCTACAGCTATGCAAAATGTGGCGCGGCCACGCCGCGCTGTTCAAAAACCGTTCGGGAAAAGCCCCCGAGGGGGGGGGGTCAATTTGCCCCCACCCCACCCGAGCGCGTGTTAATGTATTCTGTTTCAGTTCAATGATCTAAGATGTCAAAAAACGAAATAGTTTTGTCAGGTTTCTGATACTACGTCTATGCCAACTTGAAATAGATGTCCTTGCTTGCTGGAGCATGCGTCACGAGCTCATAGGTTCCGTCTTTTGTGAATAGATTTTTTCACTCCCGCACGGTCTTTTTGCGATGGAATTTTTCACTCCCACCCTCGTTCAAAAGCGATTCTAGCTCTCTGCTGCTTAATCAGCCCGCCTGCTTCCATGTGAAATGGGATGTTTATTTTCCTCACTTAACGCACATTGTTGCCGCCATTTAGACGGATTGACGCAAAATGATCGCACAGGTGAAGTGCCCGAAAGTCCCAACGACTAACTGGTCACCATTTAAGTGGCCGCAGGCATGCCACTCGGGCCCTGTGTGGTGGCTGTGGTGTGTGTGGGCCCTGTGTGGTGGCTGTGGCCCTGTGTGGTCGCCTCGCACTGAACTGGGCGCGGTCCGGACCCGTGTTGACAGAGCTGCGTCAGCCTGTGTCTGTGCGACACCAACGGCAGCACGGACCTGCACGTCAACGACCAGCTGGTTGAACTGGGCCACGCCGTCTTCCGCAACCAGAGCATGGACGCGGCCGAGCCGGTGAGCGGCGGCGCGGCCGCCCAGCGCGAGCCACTCGGCGCGAGCGGGCCCGATCTGGCAGGCGTGCCGCGCTGCGCCGAGCGTCTGGCTGTTGTCGGTATCCTTCTCAGGACGCGCGGGTCGTCCTCGCTCCGGGGCGTCTGAGCGAGGACGACCCGCGCTCTCCAGCTCTCGCGCGGTCTACGGTGGGGTGTTGCGGTGAGACGCTGATCAGTGCTCCGCGGCTGTCCTTGGTCTGGCCCGTGGGAGAGTTCCCCGCCTGGAGTTCCCGACATGTTGCAGTGTGTGTCACCGCTTGGCTGGGCTCCATTCACTGAAAGGGCTCTGTTTTGTTGAAAGAGCTGAGCGCGGTTTTGTTGTATTAAAATGTGCCGACCGTGTTTCACATTGTCCGCCATTATTACAAGTATATCGCGACGGGTGCTTATCTACAAATTTCGTCGCGACGGGTGCATAACTTCACATTACATCGCAACGGGTGCGTGACTTCACATTACATCGCAGCGGGTGCATGACTTCACATTATATCGCGACGGGTGCATGACTTCACATGACATCGCGACGAGTGCATGACTTCACATTACATCGCAGCGGGTGCATGACTTCACATTACATCGCAACGGGTGCGTAACTACACAGCATATCGCCATCTGACTGCAACCGTACCGACGTTGACTTCGAAAGATCTCTGCCAATGCTCTGCCTGTTTAGTGAGTTGTCGTCGTGGGATGCTAGAGTCCTCCGACAAGCCAGAAGCCTTTTTCGATCCCGTGTTTTTACGTGTGCCGTTCGTGAACCCATTCGCACCGTGGTATGGACAGAGCTCTGTGGCGCGGTTGTCTGCCGGCCGTGTGTTTCTGTGACGTGGCCGTGTGTCGGGCCAGGCCGTGGAGGAGGTGTCACGGCCGGTGCCGCTGGGACCCGACTCGTCGCCGGCCGCCGCCGTCCAGCGCCGCCCGCCGTCGCCGGCGCCGCTGGCCGAGCTCTGGAGCGGCCACACCACGCCCAGCGAGATCGACCGCCTGCTCCAGGAGACGCTCGGAGCGCCGGCCGCCAGCGGCGCGGACACGACGACCGGCGCCGCCCCCGCCGCTACCGTCACCTCCACCGTCACCTCCACCGTCACCTCCACGCCGGGTGAGCGGCCGGGACGGAACGGCCGAGACACGGTCGGCCTCCGCGTGCTTTGCGGCGAACGGTGGTCCTGCCCACCTGTGACGGCACGAACTCGCCAGGGATGTGAGCCCGTAATGACCACAATGTTGCCCTGATGGCGATGTTGTCTGCCACCGGCCGGGGCTTGTACGTCCGGCTCCGAGCGGGGTGCCCCTTCCGTTCACAGTGTCGCCGCCGGCGACGTCGGTGCCCGGCCAGCCGCCCGGCTTTTCGGGCACGCCGCTGCAGCCGCCGGTCGCCAGCGCCGCCCTCTCGCAGATGCTGACCCAGTCGGCGCTGTTCAGCAACCTGCAGATGATGCAGCTGCAGAGGTGAGCAGCTCCCGGCCGTGCCCTGCAGCTCCCCCCCCCCCCCCCCCACCAGTGCTCACACAAACATGCGGGGATCCACGCACCCACCGTCCTACGTATGCACGCACAAACGCGCGCTCACGTGCACGCGTGCGCACGCACATGCAGCACGTACCCGAATACACAAACGCAGCGTGCCGTCACAGTGCCATTGACAACCAGTTGGCGGGGTCTGATGACTGGTGTGTAGTGATAAGGCTCATCTTCTGCGGGTACGCCTCGGCCGCCTGTATGTGTCTCACCGCGCTGCTGTCCCTCTTCCAGCATGATGAACCCGCTAATGAACCCGTACGCGGCGCTGCTGATGTCGCAGGCGTGCGGCGGCGCGGCAGCCGGCGCGCCGCCCGTGTTCCCCACAGCGCTCGCGTCGGTAAGTGGCCGGGGTTCTCCGCAGACCGTCGCGTGCACGCAGATACCGTCAACGTCTCCGTCGACGGTGCAGGGAGGCGGATGTGTTGAGCTTTCGTCATGGTTGGAGGTTGTTTCTCGCCCGTTGGCCCTGATGGCTCTGCCTTTGTTTACCAGCAGTTCCCTTCACATCAACAGATGTCTCCACTCGTCTCCGCGCCCTCGGCTTTTCGGTCGGGTATCATTCTGACCTGTTGTAGTTAAATACTCGTGCTACAAGATGTGGCGGCATGATGCCTGATGCATCACATCAGCACATCAGTATGATGTGGCGGCGGCATGCGATGCCGTTGTCTCGGGTGCCGGCGCGGCCCATCTCCCCCGGGGAGTCGCGTTTCTGCTCCGTGCCGTCAGCACCACGTCAGCACTACGTGGCGAGTGTCCGGCCCGGCCCCATTCCAGCCCGCCCGCCCGCACCTGCAGACGATTGGGCGTACTGACCGACAGACTGGCGGCGCGGACGGCGCATCAGCGGTGCAGGGGTCGGCCGCAGCCGGTCCGCCGCCGCCGGTGAGCGTCGTGCAGCCAGCGGCGCCGACGGCAGCGGCGGCGGTGGCCGGCCCGATGGCCACCCCGTCGGCGGTCAGTTCGGGTCAGCAGAGCGGCGTCGGCGTCACCGCCCCCATCCAGGCCGGCAGGTGAGCGGCCGGAGGTCAGGGCGGGGTCAGATAGGTCAGAAGGAGAGGTTAGACGTGAAGTGGCCAGACGCAGGAGAGGGGAGGCAGAGGGAGGGCGCATTCGCGAAATGGGCTTACAATGTAGGACGCACATGATGTTGAGGCAGATACCATGAGACGGGCCTGTGATGTCACACGACATTTGATCTCTGACATTGGTGCTGACAGGAGTAACCGGTGAGATGCGTTGTGCGGCCTAAGAAGAGCTCCGTCAATTATCAATAATCATCGCGCAGATTATCTTAAAATTTACGAATGGCACCTTCGAATACGTATAGCGGGGTAATGAGAAAGGACAAAATCATGACACTGAATTTTGTCTAGATGCGAGTAAGGTTCAGGGTCGAGAGCTCGTCTTTGCTATTTGTAGAGTTTACTGTTATGGGAACGTACTTCTTCACTATGTGTGTTTATTTAATTATGGGTCTTAAACAAACACCCCGCCATGTGACGTAATCTTGCAGCCTTATGGGCCAGAGCCCTTTGAGAACCAACAGGATTGTTCAAAGTGAAAAACCCACGTCTGTTCCACAGAGGGAGGTGGTTGATTGGACGCGATTCCCTATCTTTTGTCGGCAAGAAAGCTCGAAACATTTGTTTTTTCTTCCAAAAACGTCACATTTAGGGCACTTGTGGCCTGCCTTTCGACGAAATCCGTCAAACCAAAAAATCGACTTGGCCAGAAGAAGAAAGCGAATGAATGGCGCGTTGTGACGCGAAGCGATACGTATTGAACTAAAACGCGAGTTTTTCTGCTGGCCCGATCTTCTAAAATCCCGTTGGGGTTATTTGCTTCTTCAGACCTCTATACTCTGAACATGTAATTTGCTCGCACGATGGAAACAACCATGGCCGAGCTATGTCCGCCTCCACTTTCGAGTGGGTCACGTGCTGGCGGGTTTTCTTTGGTCGCTTGCACCGAGTGTAAAAATATTTGCTGGATTGCGTATTAAGTATCGTTTAGCTTTATTATTTTTATTTTGATCAGGGGTTTGATTAGTATGGATGCATCTTTCAAGGCTTTGTGTGAACTGAGAGCTGCTAGTTCAGAACGAGGATGGACGGCATTAGATGGCATGCATTATATATTGCAATACTTGCACGGTAGTCCTCCTGTTCCGTTGTTGGTAACGTTTTGTGGGCGTTACCGACGAAAACGTGACGACATGAAGCAACGAGATGATAGAACTAAAGGCAAAGGCAGAGTGCGACGATGCTGAGAATTTCGGAGTGATTAGGCCACTGAGTATGTCGGTGCCAAGCATGTCGGAATGGTCAGGTCACTGAGTGCGTCGGTGCTGAGAATGTGGGAGTGATCAGGTCACTGAGTGTGTCGGTGCTGGGAGTGTCGAAGTGATCAAATTACTGAGTATGTCGGGCTGAGAATGTTGGAGTGATCAGGCCGCTGAATACGTTGGTGCTGGGAATGGAGCGATCAGGCCACTGAGTGTGTCGGTGCTAAAAGTGTCGGAGTGAGTGAGTGATCGCTGTGAGTGTCTGTGCTGAGAATGTCGGAGTTGATCAGGTCACTGAGTATGTCGGTGTCAAGCATGTCGGAGTGATCAGGTCACTGAGTGCGTCGGTGCTGAGAATGTGGGAGTGATCAGGTCAGTGAGTGCGTCGGTGCTGAGCATGTGTGAGTGATCAGGTCACTGAGTGCGTCGGTGCTGAGAATGTGGGAGTGATCACGTCGCTGAGTGCGTGGTGCTGAAAATGTGGGAGTGATCAGGTCACTGAATGCGTCGGTGCTGAGAATGTGGGAGTGATCAGGTCACTGAGTACGTCGGTGCTGAGAATGTGGGAGTGATCAGGTCACTGAGTACGTCGGTGCTGAGAATGTGGGAGTGATCAGGTCACTGAGTACGGCGGTGCTGAGAATGTGGGAGTGATCAGGTCACTGAGTACGTCGGTGCTGAGAATGTGGGAGTGATCAGGTCACTGAGTACGTCGGTGCTGATAATTTGGGAGCGATCAGGTCACTGAGTACGTCGGTGCTGAGATTGACGCCGCGGTGGGATGCCGCCCGACGAGAACGTGCACACATGCAGCACGTGCACAACGAGCCAGTGCGAAAAAAACACTGAAAAGCGATGTAGGGTGTGAAGTTGAACCCTTGCTAAAGCCTGCGACTGCGGTCAACAGACGCCACCATCCGTCCTGGATATATTAACCCAGAGCCAATATGCGCGTATGCCTGAGTCAAGACTGGCGTCAGTTCGCTGGCTTGGGCAGGTGCAGAGGCCCTATGTTACCCATATGGCAGCACTGCTTACGACGTGGTAACTTACGTCGAGTTGCGTGGTGCACACTTCGTAATGGATTTACACCCTTTTTGGCTGCGGCAATTCAGCACTGGACAAGATTCAGCAGGTTTGCGTAGCGCTTGAGTCATTGCCCGTTACTCCAAGCACGGTCCATTGCACGCGGCACGAAATGAACGGTTCCAGGTGATGAGTAATGTTGAGTATGTTATGAGGATGGTGATGTGTGAGATGGAGTATGTTAGCTGCTTGCTGGATACTATGCTGATGTGAACGTGGTCGAAAAAATTGAGAAAAAAATTTATTGCAGACGTCCCCATGCTCCGCACCTGTGGGAACGATCAGCACAAAGTCTTCGCCAATGGATACGACATGGTCGGCAACGGATTCACTGTAGGATACGGTGGTCTTTGAAGGTCGCCAAAATCGCTCAGAACTACCGAATTTAGCTTCAGACAGCTCTGTACTACGAACCTATGGACCGATCACAACAAGACCTTAGCCAATCGATGCGCCATTGCCGATAACATATCCTCTGCAGAGTATGGTGGCCCAGGGTCAGGTCACAGGACAACAGCCCGAATCGGGCCCAGGGGCGCGGAGCATGGAGTGTGCGAACCGATTTTTGTGGGTCTCGGGCGTTTTTGGTGTCCTCTGACCTGGATTAACGTCACCATCTTTTGGAAAAGATGTGATACCGACTGTAACGCATCAATCGGAAAAGGTTTTGTTGATCAGTTTCAAAGGCTCGGAGCGTTGGGTTGTCTGCAGCCAGTTTTTCTACCTTTTGGACGGTTTTGATGACTTTTGATCCGTGCCAGTCACCGTATTCTGGAAAGGGTAGGACATGATTATGATGCATCGATTGGTGAAGGCTCTGCTGATCGGTGCGATAGGCTCGGGGTACAAGGTTGCTGACAGCCCTATGTTCCGGTTTTTTGTATTTTTGGTGATCTTTGACCTGACCCAAGGTCACCGGGTTCTGGAAAAGATGTGATACCAACTATGACCCATTGATGGGTAAAGGTTTTGTACCCATTTATTTCAAAGACGTGGAGCATGGAGTTGTCTGCAGGCAATTTTACTGATGTTGAGCGTTTTGGTGGCCCTTGTCCTGACCCCAGATCACCTTGTTCTGGTAAGGATAGTTTATCGACCATGGAACATCGACTGGCAAAGGCTTGTGGTAATCGGTTCCAAAAGCTAGGAGCATAGGGTTGTCTGCACCCAATTTTGATGATTTCGTGCGTTTTCAGTAACCTTTGACATGACCTTATGTCATATTCCAGACAGAACAGTATATCGACTATAGCGCATCGACTGGTAAAGGTTTTGTTGACCTGCAACCTGATCGATTTCTGTTTTGAACGT